TTATTAAACAATAAATATATGCCCTAACAACACTATTCCTTTCATATAGTAACAGAATATTAGCATCACACTATTGAAATAATAAGAGTTGGGTTTGCACATATCTGAATTCTATTCTTATATTAATGAATTCTGCCTCTGGGATAATTTCTTTTTCATCGGAGAAATTAATATTTATGCAAATGCTTTGCAGTGGTGGGGGGAGATAAGTTGATTCCTGGCAACTTCCTGGACAGGTGCCTGCAGTTTTTTTGGCAAGATTTCTGAAGATTTGCTGTTGCCTGCTTCCTAGGGTTGAGAGAAAGTGATTGGCTCAAACTTGACAGTTTTAAGACTTGTGGACTTCAATTCCCAGAATTCCTCCTCCAGTCATGTTAGCTCAGGAATTCTGGGAGTTGAAGTTCACAAGTCTTAAACTTGCCAAGTTTGAAGACTCTTGGTCTAAGGAATGAATAGAAGTCACAGTTTCCCAGCTTCTAGGCTGGTGTCTTAATCACCACAGGAAACTGGTTCTCTACAGTAACAACATGTCTAATAAAAGGGACTCTTGTCTAATTAAAATAGGGAAACATAAACAAAACAATAGATAAGTATTACAACTAGCGGTAATCAAATGTATCTTATTGTATAGTACAATGCATGTGAGAATTTTTTTTTGAATATTTCTACTATTGCAACAACTGTAGAAAGAAATCCTCTATTTTCTTTAAAATAAAATTAGACTGTTCCACTATCAAAGTTATGTGATCTTCACTGTATTTCTGCAAACCTGTGCTGGAAGCTAATTGTGAATAATTTAGTATCATTTTACACATGGCTATGGAGAAGTAAGTCCTATTTAATTTTTGTAGAGGATTGCAGTATAATGTCATTTTCTTATGAACACATACATTTGGAAATAAGCCTGATCTGTATATGTATTGAGTGTACAATAATTGTCTTTACTGACTTGGGATACAGTTTGTAAAGAAATACTTTGTGTTGGGTTTGTCTATATACTTACAGCATGAGTGTAAAATAAGCACAAAGAATTTCTGGTTACACTTAAAATTCCAGCTTTAAACAACTTTGCCTACAGAATATTCTATTTTTATTGATTAATGAAAAAGCAGGATTTATGATCTATGTACCTGGCTAGGTAACTATGGAAAATACATTTTAAAAGGTTGCTGTGGAGAAAATAAAGTGATACATAGAAATTAGAGCTTAAAGGATCTTCTGGGATCAGTGTATCTGTGACACTATAAGGGTAAGAACTTAGAACCTACGGAAAGACATGTTATTAATAGCATGAATGGTGCAGATGTCTTCAATATCCAAGTGCTTCACACTTCTTAGAATAAAATAATTAGAACTCTGAGAAAGAGACTACTAGATTTAATAAGGCAACTATTTAATATTACAGAATCATTACTTTTATTATATTGACAGCTAAAATGTATAGTTAGTAAACAGACTTTAGATGGCTTCTGTTAAAATCTGTATGTGACATAACACACACATACTAAAAAAATACTTTAAAGACTTTATATTTTATTCATTTTAATGAAACTTTAATTATATCAAAATATGTTTTAGTAAAATGTATATAGTTATTTCTTCTAATAATAAATAAATAGTACACTTTGGTTTTCTCATAATATACACAAGCATCTAGCTGAAAATTTTTAAAAATTGGGTGGTCCACAATTGTTCAATAGGCAAAGTAATCACAAGTTTTAGGTCTATCAAAAATGTAAAACAGTTAATGAAGAAATATTATAAATGAAGCTCATCATGTTTTGAATATTGTAAGATGAGTTAGAAGAATTTATTACAGACATAAACACAAACAACCTTCTGTTTAAACTATTTTATATATGATAATAATGATTGGATTTATTTCATTCATTCTTTTCTTGGGCAAGTTGACTTCTCCAATCATTAGGCCATCTTTTGTTAACTTTCTTTGATGCATGATGTTTAAACTAATTTAATTTTTTTTCAATTTGGAAGATTATGGTAATTAATGATGTGAACATATAGCATTTAGAAGACAAATTAAAGATACAATTGCCCATTACCAGTGAGTAAATCCAAATGAAATGATTGGTGTTTAAGTTTGAGATGAAAATGACTGAATTTTTTTCTATAAATTTTCCAGATCGTTCATATATCCAGACAGACACATACACACAGAGGCACAAGACTACTCAAAAAGTTGTTGTTATGTATTGGACTTTTGAGTAGTCTTGTGATATATCAAGAGCTAATTAATGAATGAGGGCATAAGGCTACATGGTACTTAGTTTTATTTGTTAAATAGCAATAGCACTTAGACTTATATACTGCTTCACAGTGCTTTACAGCCCTGTCTTAGTGGTTTACAGAGTAAGATAAATAGAATGAGAATAACCTAAAAAACAAAACTGAGCCATGCTAATGAAAATAACTATTTTAATGATTCTGACATTTATGCAAAAAATAATTCCATGCGTGCTCAAATATAATTTGATAAATTATCTGCCTATTTGATTGTAAAATAAAGAGAGAAGTACATTTACATTCAGAAGCATCATTGTATCATATTTTAAGTCTATGAGAGGATAATTTTTGGAAACTGGGCATGACTATTAGCAGATATTGAAATATTTTAAAAGCTGAAAGAAGTTAACTGAAGGATCATAATAAGGTTCAGGGCATAAAATGGACTGAAAGAAGTCTGTTTAAACTTATCTCTGCATCAAACACAGATGGGAACTGCTGCCCACAAGCAGGAAAACAAGTTGTTAAAGTGAGTTAATAAGATATGAAGCATATCAGCAGTGAGCATATATTAAAGAACTGTGGAGGAGGAATACTTTTTACTAATGAAAGTTTAATATAATCTATTCTTTTCTTTTCACTTCCACTATACCATTAAGAGCCATTAGGAACATATATTTTCTGGGTAATAAAGGAGGGATAGTTTATTTAGCATATGGAAGAATGAAATATCTCAAGATATACATTTGCTCAGCATTTATACAAAAAGGCTAACCACACCATTTGAAAGTGCTCTGCCTCAGTCTTAATTGATACTTTATAGATCATGCTACTGCATTTATTATTTGAAGATCTGCTAACTCAAACTGATCTATATGTCCAGTATCTAGTAATAACCTGCATGTTTAAGATTTTGTCTGCATATAGTCTTCAATGTTTATATCAGTTGTTGATACAAATTTAGCTGACTCAATGACAATAGGGAAATATTGCCTTGAATTTCAACGTTTTGGTCCATTTCTGAAACACGCATTATGCATACTATTGCATCCTCAGAGGCACAAAGATGGAATTCAGAAATATCTGATAAAGCCTCACTTTCTTTTAATTGTAATCTCTAGATTACAAATCAGTGCTTTATCATTTAGAATTAAGTCTTGGCAGTACTTTGGATGAGGAAGGTGTAGAAAAAAAATTATATTCCTTCCTGACAGAATGAAGGCTATTAGATATTATAACTAGATGATCCTCAACCAAAGTGCAACAGTATTCCCTAAATTGTCTCATACAATTTGTTTTTACCAGTTGCAGGCCTAAATATCAGTGGAAAATAGCTTAACCAATAAGTTATTACTAGGATTGGGAGCTAGAAGAGGTAATAACAAAAATAACATTTAACAACTCAGTCAGGAAGTTAAGCTTATCTTTAGTAAATGCTCTGCAAAGAGAAGAATTCTGGAAAATGCAGAGAACTTTCTTTCCAGGATTTATTCCAAATCAAAGTTATGACTTTTATTCTTCTTCCAAAATCTGAATACTTGTTTTCAGGAAATTAATGTGTAAAGCTTGGAGACTGAATATAATACCAGAAATTAAAGTCTATGTCTTGAGGGCTTTATGTGCCAGCTCAGAAGTTTTAGGAGTGGGATTTGACTTTGCAGTATGATTCTACAATGGGCTCTGAATTAGAAAGTTTGTTTCCATGTGTAGACTGGATTTCTACAATTTTTCTTTAAATCTATCACTCACCCATTAATGAAAATGATTGTAATTATTCTGATAAAACATATCTTAATTTTCTTTTAATTTTAAATTTTTACACATATCACTTATGTGCAGTTTTGCTTATGTGATACTTATATGTGCTTAACAAAATGTACACACTTTTAATGTTCTTACATAAAAGCAGAATTGAATGTTTCCCATTACGAAAAGAAAAATGCAATGAATTAAGGAAAAAGATTGGATAAGATGATCAATGGGATGGCTATTATCAATTCGAATAAAATAGAAAAGGTGTTATTGCTACAGTTCTAATATTGGCATTCAGCAGTAAAACATCAATCATGAAATTTGAATAGTTTTAATTTAATCATACAACACTCAACAATAATGAGATGCAAAAAGTCTGTATCAATGACACTATTTCAGATAGAAAAAAATTAACATTTTATTATACTATAATAATACTACACAGTCAACTAAATCTTCAATTCAAGAATATTTGGAAATATTTTTTTCCTATAAATTTTTCTACTAGCATTTTTGCCTAGAATTTAAGCTTGACTATATTAATTCATTACCATAACCCCTTAAACTGTTCCAGAGATCAGGAAACTCATTGTTGTGAATTAAATAAAATAAGATTAATTTTAGCTGAGTTCTTACCATGACTATTTAGAAGTCCCACTGACTTCAATGCAATGCTTTGAATTATAGCTTTAGCTGGATACAGTTAAATCCCAGAAAACAAGCTACTAGGGTGACTTATCACTCAAATGAGATTTTATTAAAATCCTTGGTTACTAATGCCATCCCTCAATTTGCCTTTACTTGGTAAAATATTTTAAAATATGCCAAATGTATATGGAATATTGATTAAATTATAAAAATACATGGTTCTCAGGTTTTTATTGGATGAACTGGTAAATAAATGTAAAAGTTTTAGTTAAGAATGTTATTTAATTGACATATAAATTGTTACTTGAAATACACATTACATTTAATGTTGCTTTACTTCAAAAACAACATATTGATAAAAAATCAGGTCATAAAATTCAAACTGTTATAAATCCTGAATGGATTCTATTTTTTTGTTCATTTTCTGCCATCAAGGTCCTAGTATTGTCTTTTCAGTTCCTAGTATTACCTCCTGCAAAGTCTTGAAAAATCCTCCAATCTTTTGGAGCAGTTTATGGGACTCATAGAGATATACAAATGTAAGGGAATGATAAACACTGAATCCACCCTCATTTGGAGCATGTACAGGGAAGTATTAAAACCTGCAAAATGGTAGGCATGAGGTTGCAATTCAATCCTTGCCCTTTTTTGTCAGTGCATGTGATGTCACACATGCAAGGGAAAGATGTGGACTATGATGCCATAATCCTGCTACCCATCTTACAGATTTTAACTTCCCTGACATTACTGCCCCCTGTTCCTCTTTGGTGGATCAGAATCCAGCAAATTCTGGATAGGTTAGGAAGCATTGACTTGCCCATGTATTGAACAAATTATTTTTCCAGTGTACAGTCACATAAATGACAGGAAGGTCATAAAATACCAACTCTGTATCAACAATGTTGACTTTTTTTTCTTTTTGTGTTTACTTACTGTTTGAACTTTGAGGAAATCCAGTTAAGGAAGATGGACCATTCATTCCAGGTAAAAGAACCGGAGGAAGGCCAGGTAGTCCTGGGTAAGCTGCTGGCAAACTGATTCCATGAAGCGAACTGCTGTCCATCATGCCTGGCTGCTGTACTGTTAAGCCTAAAACATCTGTGGCCTTTTTAATACGATCCAATTCTTGTTGTGCCATCAGCTGTCTAACAGTTGTAGGAGCTAAGTAGTCTTTTTCTCGGTCCAGCTGACTTCCCACAGTTTCTCGCACTTTTGTTATATGTTGTTTGGAAAATATATGGTCTCTTATGGACAAACGTGCAGAATATTTCACTCCACACAGAGAACACTCTGGTCTTGACCCATCAGTTGCATTCTGATTTATCATAAACGGCTTCCCTATGTTTATTTTGAATTTCTTTTCTTTTGCTCGCGCATTTTGAAACCAAACTTGTACCACACGTTTGGGCAGGCCAATCTCATTGCCTAACATCTCACATTCTTGCATGGTTGGAGTTCGATAATCACTAAAGCAAGCCTTCAAGACCTTAAGCTGTAAATTACTCATTTGTGTTCGAAATCGTTTGTGACCAGGCCGATCGCTACTTTTAGATTTAAAGGGATTGTTTGCTCCAAATGGATTAGGTGAACTTGGATCGGCAATGCTTGATGTCTCACTGCGATCAGCATTATCATCAGGATCATCAGTAATGTAAACACTTTGGTCGAGATCACAATCTTTGTCACTTAAATGGATTGATGGGCTCGTCAGAGAGAATAAATGCCTATCATCATTGTTATCCATATTAGGCATGTTTATATTTTTTGGCAAATTGTCATTGAGAATATTTTTTGGCTCTTTGGGAGTTGATGTAGATTTCACATCTTTTGAACTCATACTTTCAGTTTCATTGTTTCCTTCATCTCCTGTTGTTGCATCACTAATTGCTGTATTAATTGATGAAGTTTCATCAAAGTCAGTTTTACTCTGATCATAACAACTATCAACAGGAGCAGCATTCAGATTTTCAATATCTTCATTGCATTCTGCTTTGAAAGACGAAGGACTTAAAAGATTCTTCGGTGACATTTCTGCAGTTTTACTAACAGGAGTTGAGACAGTAGAAGCTAATTCATTTTCACTTGATAAATCAATTTTTGTTAAAGATGATGGATAATCAAAAAAGATGTATTTTTGTGGACTCTCTCCTCCATCTTCATTGGCTATTAAAGGACTTGGTGGCAAACTGTAACCTGCTTGTTTTCCTTCATTCCAGTGTCGACTGCGAATATGACTTTCTAAAGCTGACTTTGCTTTAAACAATGCTCGACAAAAAGGACATCTTTTATGAGACTGGGCTGGCCCTACTGCACGAAATTGCCCTTTTCTTTCTCGAGCTCTTGTGTTTTGAAACCAGACTTGTACGACCCTCTTTTTAAGACCTACTTCACGTGCAATATGATCTAGCATTTTTCGAGTAGGATTGGAATCCAAAAGGTATTTTTCATACAGTATTTCCAACTGCTCTGGAGTAATTGTAGTTCTCAATCGTTTATCCCGGTGCTGGTCCTCACCACTGTTTCCTCCCTCTTTTTCACTACAGTTATTGTCATCTTTATCATCCAGTTTTCTTTTAAGTGAGCCAGAAACTGAAGGGGTATGGTGAGTTGTGTGAGTTGAACCTACTTGTGGTGCCATCTGAGCCAAAGAACTATTCAGCAACTGACTTGTCATCAAAGGGCTATTAGGATCAAATATCATGTAGGGCATATCCATAGGCCTTTCTAAAAATTGTGAATGAAGGAATTGGTTTTGTGCTGCTAAGAAATGCATGTGTTGGTGCTCCTGCCAAAGTTCTAAAGTGGGAAAGGCAACTGTACACTGGTCACATTGGTACTGTAGTAATTGAGGAGGTAGGCTGTTTTGAAGAGGACCCATTGAAATTGTTAAAGGACTGGAAGGAACTGCCGTAGATTGTGATGTAGAAGGTGGTCTGCCTCCTACTTGGGATTGTTTGTGTTGCTGTGCTTGAGAAGCTGAGGGCTGTGGATCACTGGTGGATCCCATGGAGGATGTTAGTGTGGATTGCATTAATTTGTTGCTTTGGGAAGAAGTCTCAACTTGTTTAGGTGTGGTATCATTTTGCTTTGGCTTTTCAGTTAAATCGGGTTTGGGAGAATTTTTGTCTGGCTCAGGTCTGGGTGATGGCATCAAAGGAGTACTAGAACCAGATCCAGAGCTTCCTGCGGTTGTTACAGCCATACTTTTAGATGAATCAGATGGACCAGAATATGTACAGTTCTTATAGAGAGTTTGATCTGTGGCATCCATTGAGTCCTCTGTCTGACTTTCATCTTGGGCATCATCATCCTCATCTTTATAACACAGTTTTTTCTGATGAGTAATTAAGTCAAAAATTCTAGGAAAAACAACACTACATTTTTTACATTGATATTGCATGTTACTAGTCCTAATGTATCTCTCATTGGTGAGTTCCCTTTTCTCATTATCTTTAGTTTCAGCTTGATTCTCATAGCTTTTTCGAGCCTTTTGACGTGCATTTTGGAACCATACAACAATAACACGAGTAGCTAAGTTAAGTACAGTTGAAAGCTGTTCAATTTCATCATCTTTTGGATAAGCATTTGTATCAAAAAAATCTTGTAATACTCTCAATTGGTAGTCAGTAAATCTAGTTCTAGATGATCGCTTGCTTAAAGATGCATCAGATTTGTAATGTTCTAAAGAATTGGTTTGCGGTTCAATTCTTATATCTTCCAAAACTGTTATGGGAGGGTTACTAAAATTGTATGGAGAATCTTTATTTCTCTGTCGTTCCTTAAATAAGGTATTTCTAAACCAATGTTTAATAACTTTTTGTGAAAGGCCAGATTTCTCAGCCATTTCTTGAATCTGTTCTTCGCTGGGAGAATTATTAATATCAAAATATGCTCGCAGGATTTTCAGTTGGTCATCAGTGATTCTAGTACGGGGACGTTTGAATTGAGAGTGTCGTAGAAAATTTGGATCTAATCCAAGCTGTTGCTGACAAAGCTGAGTAAGATCTGCAGATAAAGCATCCATTGGTGGTAACTGAAGGGCAAGCTGAGGAGGTAATGCTGGGTGTTGCACTGGTTGCATCATAATTGGGGGGAAAAGAGGAAGATCTAAAGATACTGGTAGCTGCACTGGTGGTGGAGCAGAAGGTGGAGGTGGTGGAGGAGGAGGTGGTGGTGGAGGAGGTGGAGGCGGTGGTGTCGGTGGTGGAGCTTGCAGAGGAGTGGGAGTTATGTTCTGGATTTTTCCAGAGCTAGATGAAGGCTGTGAAGGAGTAACAGTTGGTGCTGGAGGTGGAGGTGGGGGTGGAGGTGGGGGTGGTTCTGGAGAAGATGGTGAAATAGGATAAAGTTTGTCATATGCCTCCCTGTATTGACAGGCAAATTTTTCTAGTGCACCATGTGGGAAGAACTGACCATGAACATGTTCCTGATGACTCTTCAATATAAGTATGTTTGAAAATAATTTACTACATGCTGCACATTCCAATTTGTCAGTATTTTCACAATCACCAGTTTTACTTTTCTTCTGCACCTTCTGCCTATTCTCATTATATTGAATAACCAACTCGAAGCCAAAATTTTCTAATAAAGCTTTGGCTGCATTTCCTCTTGCCCCAGAAGCAATTCTAGGTGGTGGGATAATTGGTTCTGAAGACTTCTGTTTCTTTATTTCCTTGTTTTCTTTCAATCCTTCACTATCACTTGTGAATTCTTGCTTTGGTTTTTCTTGTTTCTCGGACATATCTTCAGATTCCTTCATTAAGGGTATATCCTTCACCATCTGGCATTCTGCATTTACAGGATTTTGCTCTGCTTTTATCAACTTATTAGTCTGCTGCTGTTGTTGCTTTTGGGGCTGAATTTGAGGTGGTGTAACTTGATACTGTTGTGCCTGTTGCTGCAATAGCTGTAGCTGAGTTTGACCGACATGGTGCTGGGTTTGCATCTGCTGTTTTAGGTCTTCTAACAACGAACCTGCCATACCTGCCATTCCAGGCATACCAAAAGAGGCAGAAGCAGGCAAACCCAGATCAGGGCTCAAACTGAATTCAGTCCCAGGAATATAGAACGGAAAAAGAAACTGTGGCTGTTGAAATTGCAACAATGCCTCTGGGGTCATAGGGAAATGAGGCAAAAATGCAGGGTTCAAGAACTGTGGTTGAAAGAAAGCTGCTTGCTGCTGCAATTCATGCTGGAGTTGCATCTGCAATTGTGCTGGTGACTGGGGAGGATGATGTGTAGGCTGAGCAGAAATCAGTTCAGAAGCCTGTTTTTTATTTAACTCTTTGGCATCTAGGTGAGTTTCTTTGCTGTTTACTGCTGGTAGGCTTGTAGACTCTACTGATCCTTGGCTAGGGCTATTAATGCTCCCTGCTGTACTAGTTCCACTTAATGTATTACTGTTTGGCTCTAATTTTGCAGCCCTTGCCTTAGTCTGATGCAGTACAGATCTCATGTGGATTTCCAGTGTAGAACTTTGGCTGTAAGAAACATTACAAATGCTGCATTTATAGGGTTTGTTGTCAGTGCTGCTGTTTGCTTCTTGAGGGACAGGACTGGATGCTTCTTGCAACACTTTTTTGAGTTTATGTAAATGAGAGACTGAATTATAATGGACCAAAAGAATGTTCTTTTGTGTGAAAGATTCTTTGCACACTGTGCATTTATATGGACGAGAAGGATCTAGAAACTTTTCCATAGTAAAATTTGGCCCTTTTCTAAAAGGTAAGGTCCGCTTTGGTTCTGAGCCCATTTCATCTGGAATCGAGCTGCTATCACTTCCTACAGGACTTGCTTTACCTTCCTGGTCTACCTCATACTCCCTTTCTATATCTTGCTCTAGTGCATGTTCATCTTGTGCCATACTTTCATTTTCTGACCAGAGTTCACCATTTACAGGTAAAGATGCACACAGCTGCTGAATTTCAGCTTCACTGAGTTCTGGATGGCCTGTTTCCAAATGTTTTTTTAAAGCCTGGAATGTACGGAAGCTACGTTGGCAAAGGCTACACATGGTAGCAGCCCGAATAGCATGATACTGGGAATGTATCTGAAGCTTCTGCATAGTCTTAAAAGCCAAGCTACAATGGTTACAACGATATTTATAGACATGGCGATCAGAAACAGAAAGCTGCTGCCTCTTCTGCTGTTCATTCAAATGATCTGGCAGTGATTCAATTATCTTTATATCATTAGTGCTGCTTTTGTTCCATTCTGGCAGTTCAGCAGATTCTTTTAGTGGCTTATGTTCCTCTATTTTAATTTCCATTCCAGTTTTTGATTCTTCAAGCCCAGGAGTATTCTTCTCCTCTGGAGGACTATCACCTGCTTACAAAAGAGAGAAAGAGAGAAAAGAATAATCCATAGATTATTTAGTAGAAAGTATCTTTGGTATGAGAATTATGCACAGGGATTCTAAAATAGTGACCATTCATTGTTTTGCAATTGAATATAGCATAGACCAATTAGGCATTTCCCATTTTTAGTACATTGGTATGTTGTCCTTTAAAAGATATTTTGAAAAATAACTAGATGTAGTCGGTGTACTACCTAAGATTACGAAGAAGATGTGCATACAAATGGCCTTGATGCATTTATTCCAGAGACAATAAGGGGCTCAGGCTCTGAATCATAATTTCTGAAAAAGGCAACTGTCTAGTCCTTGTTGAATTACAGTTGGAAAGGAAAAAGTTTAGGTATCATTCTAATTTAACACCTAATTAAATCTTTCGGGGTTTCTAGCCAATGCAGAAAACTATAGATGTGAATGACATTTAAAAAGGTATTGCTACAGAGAAAAACTCAAAGATGAATATATGGACAGTAGTTTTTGGCCTTTCCTCATTATTAGGTAATTTTTTTTTCTTTTACTGTCATTGTTCTTCTTCCTTATCTCCCCCCCCCCCCCCATTAGTGTGGTCTGTCTTCTAAATTGTAAAATATAAATGGATATTGTTATATAAGTTCACACATATGTAACTAAAAGAATGCAGTGGGAATATACAAAATTCATTATAGCAGCAATCTATGGTGGATTGTTGCTGCTAGTTCAAACTTATACAAAAACTGAAATGGGCAACTGACTTGTACAATCTTATTAATAGATGTAAATCTAAAACCACAATAGATGTCCCTAAAAGAAGCAATTTAGTGTTGAATATATTCAAACCTGGGTTTTTAATCTATTCCTGTCTGAAACAACTTATTACACCTTTGGCTTGTTTTAATACCAAATATAGTATAGTCAGTCTAAGGATACAAAAAAAATTAAAATAACATATCTGGTTTATAACTCACAGGTAATATCTGTAACTGAAGGTGAGCAGGGGTCCTGTGTCTTTATCAGATGCATATAAACAAGAATTCTAAAGGTTCTGACTATTTGAATGGAATTAAATCTATGGATAAGTTTTGCATTTGTACATGGGACTGAGGAGACTCGGCTGAAAAAATGCTGCTGGGATTGTTCTGTATTGAGTTAAATGAATACATAATAATGCTCCAGTAAACATACTCCTGAAAAATGAAACAGAGAACTTTCCCTTGTACTTTGGGGGTGGGGGGGAATCCTTGTTTTAACTATTACCTCTACTTATTGTTTGCTGTTTTCCAACTATAACAATAAGTAAAGGAAAATTTGGCTGTGTTATCTGCTAGATTGGTTTAAGGATCACATTTATGTTTTATGCTAACCCTTGTTGCAATCCTGAAGCAGTTCGAACCATCTCTTTGAAGATGGCTATTAATCTCTGCTCTCAGCTCTTCTTTTTGTAGTACAGACTCATAAACATGGCTGCCTGAAGTCTGATGTCACTATTTGTCACTACGGGATCCATTTTTATGCAAATATAATTACCCTTTGCCCAAAAAAAGAAAACGTATTGAGTTCCGTTTTTTATATATAAAATCACATTTAAAGGAGTTAGTCCAAAATCGCTGTACTATTTTATTTCATCCCTAACTATAATGTACTGGTAGGTTTTTCTATAAAAAGTAGGAGAATTATGGCATAGTAGCTAAAGCCCTGAAGAGAAATGTCCTACAATATCGCTGTATTGCAAAACACACTTGATTTCATTATTTGGTTAAAGCAAACTGGACTTCAATTTCTGCATTATTTTCTTTGGTGCAGAATTACTGCAGTCTCCAAAGTGAATGAATGTTTCAAAAGACACTTATATTTCAATTCTGCAGGTGTGGCTTTTCATTGCTATACCTGAGTATTTTCCAGACCCTTCAGTTCTCAGGTTTGTAGACGTGGCATCACAGTCAGATTTCTCTGAAGCAACTGTTGG